GTGAAGGGTGACTAGGACTAGTATTCTCTGCGCTAACTAAGATTGACAGGTAGGTCTGGAGCTTCCAAAGTGGAGTTGAAAGTAGAAATGTATTAGAGTGTGAGAGACACTGTTGTAACACACTGTTACACTCGGCCTGATGTTGGCGAGTCTGGATTCCTAAAGTCTGGGCTATCTGATAGTGCAAGCAGCTGTTTTGTGTGTGTACCACTATATATATGTAGGTCAATTGGATCGCACTAAAAACACACAATTGTAACCCAATTCTGAAAAGATATTCCAGGAATTCTGCTGATAAACTACTTAAGATAGAACTGTATGTATTGATCACTTGTTTACTACAGGTTTTATGTCCAAAAAAAGCCCAAACATATTCCAGATTTTCAAAGATGTGTGCGTAATATATTGGGTCACCACATTCTGAAAATGAGCATTTAAAAGTTTTTTGATGAGTAAAAGGTGTTGAAATTTGAAAGGTTTCCCATAGCTACTAAGCGATTGAATTTTTTGCCATGCATTTGTATGCACATGTACCATTATTGGGGGCTAAGTAGTAGACTTTGTGCATGGTACTTTTTGTCATGCATGTACCTTTATTGTGACTGAGTGGTAGACGTTTTGTCTTCTATGACCATTGTTTGGGACAGGAGATACAGAGGTCGTCTCAAAAGTTGGACCTGTATTTAGGTGACCTTGTCTACTTTCTGAGGAATGCTTTACAAGGTAGAATGATGCATAATCAGCTTACTAATTCAACTAAGCAATCATATAAAATATATTTTTGGTCTGATTTGTCCAACATTTCTTTGATTGTCCACGCATAACATTTCTCTGATTGGCCAATTATCTTTCAGCACACATTCCACTGGTTTGTTATTCGCCTGATACTGAATGTAAAATTGTCATTCCCTTGTGGGAACATGTACCTTCTCTAAGAAATTTAAAAAAAAGAGTAATCAATTTTGGTGTATATTGCTTCTGGTCAATTACTCTATGTATATTGGTCAGTGTTATGAACTAATATCATGGGATGGTATGGTTAAAGCATATACCCAAAATAGATCCGCAGCATGGCCTTGATCAGCCCTAGAAACTGATTAGAACAAGTCTACAGCAGGTTTCATCAAACTTGATCCTGTAAGTATAGCAGACAGTGGTGCTGTTGGTACAGATATTAGACAGTAGACATGCATGTACCAGAGCTGCTAAGTCGACACAAACTTGGGAAGGTTTGCAAGTCTAAGACATGTATAGGTGTTACAACTGAGAGCAACTCTACTAATTTGTTAATGCAATTAATGTAGTACATTTAGCAATCCTTTTGATATGTAATGAAAACTTAGTGTATGACATAGAAGACTGAGGTTCTGAGGTTGGTTACTTGATTCAGTTTATTTTTTGTGTCTACTTCTGCTGCTTCAGAAGTAGTCATATCACATATGATTGCATAATTTTATACAACCTAGTCTAAGCTATTCACCTCGGGAGTCTTATTATTGCCTAACATAACTTTGTTATTACCTGGTCTGGGCTTTTTCCATTCAAACAGTCCTATTTTTTAACTTGTTATAACTTAGTCTAGTCTATTCACCTCAAATAGTCCTTATCATTGCACAACTTGTTATATATAGCATAGTCTAGGCTATTCATCTCAAATAGTCCCTATTATTGCCTAACTTGTTATAGCATAGTCTATGCTATTCATCTCAAATAGCCTTTATCATTGCCCAACTTGTTATAACATAGTCTAGGCTATTCAGCTTAAATAGTCCTTATCATTGCACAACTTGTTATAGCATAGGCTATGCTATTCAGCTTAAACAGTCCTTATTATTGCCCAACTTGTTATAACATAGTCTAGGCTATTCATCTCAAATAGTCTTTATTATTGCCTAACTTGTTATAGCATAGGCTATGCTATTCATCTCAAATAGTCGTTATCATTGCCCAACTTGTTATAACATAGTCTAGGCTATTCAGCTTAAGCAGTCCTTATTATTGCCCAACTTGTTATAACATATAGTCTAGGCTATTTACCTCAAATAGTCTTGTTGCCTAATTTGTTATAACATTGTCTAGGCTATTCAGCTTAAATAGTCACTGTCATTGCCTAACTTGTTATAACATATAGGTTCTTTTCCTCAAATAGTCCTTATCATTGGCTAACTTGTTATGTCCTTGTCTTTGCTATAGTCACCTTTACATACTAGATTAGACTAAAAGTTGCATTTCGATCCTGTGACTTGGTTGATTTCTGATGTTGGACATTTATGAAAATATTAGGCTAGCTAGGATACCTCTTATTCACTTGTAGGAATATAAACTGTGATGTACTTATATTGTTACTGAATAAAGGTATACATTTGATGTAATATTCATCTACATATGTTGGTATGTGACCATGCATTGCCAGGCACTACACAATGCAGCCGTTAACTGATAAAAATGACAGTTGATGGAGCTTGGACACATATCAGGTTATAGTCTACTGCTTAATTGACTTCCACCAGATACGCTGTACGATACCTCTACATCACATTGAAGTTGGACTGTAGATGTACTAGTATCTATAGGTGATTGATGTGTTGGCCTGAGGCCTGTACCCAGGACCCTAGATTTACCTGTGATTTACCTGATGTGCACCTAATGCTGGTACTATAAGTAATATATATCAATCCCCAGCTAATGTTTGACACTGGCCAGGAATGTCTGCTGATATCCTACAGTAACAGCTGTCTTAATCAATAGTAAGTTTTTTTTCGTCCCTCTGATATAAGGTTGTTTCTCAGTTTTTTCCTGCTATATTTATACCTACCTCTGTTATATCCTTCATTGTATGGTCGAGACTTAATATTTAACATACAAAGACATATTATGAAGCCAGTACAGTGGACAAATACGGCGACATCTGCTGCAGAAGTTATTTCTGCTGATGTGACAATGCTGCAGCTTCTGTTGTAATGGGATTATAGGCCTCCCTTGTGTTGGTCTAATAGCTCTTACAAATGTTTTCTATGCATGGCTTCTATTAATACTTTGTGGAATGGACTTGTATTGATATTATATATCAATGTGACTCTGACAGTTCATAAAACATTGACCTCTCCTTCAACTTGAATCATACTGTGATTAATGTATGATATTGTGTAAGTGAACCAAACTGATGGATTAAAGAATTATTACAAAGGACATTTCTATCTAATGCACTTTCGCCATTATGCTGCTCAATAAATATTTCAGTTACTGTAAATAGACGTTTATATTTTAGAAGCAACTGATGAAAAGAAAATGTTCTTTCAATGTTTTCTGCTAGCTTACAATTGATAACTGGGATGTACATCATGTACGTGTGTTAAAGTTAATGATCTACGATAGCTTACAGATTATACGATACGTATAAATACCTGTGATTTGATTTAGAGTTAAAGAAATAAACCTTGTGCATTATACCTTTGATATGATTTGGAGTTAAGGCTATGTTACCTTATGCATTATACCTTGATTTTGAGTTAAGGATATATGCTACCTTACACATTATACCTGTGATGTGTATGAGAGTAAAGGATATATATCATTCACTTGTGTTATCTCCCGTAGAATAATTATGTAAGAATTATCTCATAGTTCATAATAACCAATTATCATTACACACATTCCTTTGCACATTTCAAATGACATCAATTTATTAATCCCAGGTTACCATTCCTTACATTTCATGTGTTTCTTAAAATTGAAACTCGTTAGGATGTATATAAGTCGGGGAGATATATTTATACCAACTACTTTCTAACAGGATAAATCTGGTAGCTAGTTTTGTACACTAAACAATTTCTTGCTCAGCGCTGCTTGTGTATTTTCTGAGAAGTTTAACATCATGCACAGGAATTTACAAATGCCAATATGCATATTTGTTTTCAACTTCTGGTGTATACAGATCACTTTCCTTTATTTTTCAACAGATAAGAGATCTAGAAATCCCTACAAGAATGGTTGAAGTTGTGTGTTATGATCAGATGTTTGCAAATCCTATGAAATTGAATCTTTACGCATTAAGAGATAGGAGGATAGCACATTCAACAGCAAGTCAATTATATTCATAAGATCTTTGTCCGAAACATGTTTTTCTCCATAAATGAGATTTACAATGGGCTTTTGTATGTGTTACTATGGAAACAAATGACATTGATGTTTGTCTTTTAGACTGCTGGTCAGGAAACAGGCTTTATGCAACAAACCCATTCAGTTGTGATCGGGTCTTCATGGTAAAAGGCCGTAACCAGAGTTAGGGAAATATGTTTGGGGAGAATGGTTTGGATGGCTAATCAATATTGACTTCATTATAAATATCGCTCAGTAAAATATCACAATGTCCAGACTAGCTACTTCGTTATCTGAGTTTAATGTGGCTTATTGTGGATTGAGGAGTCATTCCCTATTGATTAACAATAATGGAGGTGTAGGATGTGAGATCCTGAAGCTGTGTTTACTCTGATACCATTCTAGTCACTGAACACACTGGCATGTATACATGTTTCTTCAGTTCAGGAAATTATTACATTGTTTTTTTATTGCAGTGTGCGGTTCATAATCAGTGTCTGCATCTAAAATCAATACAAATGGTATTAATTTACAGGATTTTTTGAGTAAAAGATAATTCAATAAGACTGGATATATTTTATTGTTTTGCAATAAAAAAAGTGAGTCATTGAAGATAGGAATTACATGACGAATCAAAACTGAGAAAAGATCGGTAAACAGATCTATGGATATAGATTTTTATGAAGGTTCCTTGTAAATCTTAAATTCCAGTTCATTCCTAGTGTTAGGTTTTCATTTCAATTTGGTTTTGTAGCTTTGGGTATAACCACTAGCAGTGGTGAGGTGAATTTGATGTTACTATCTGTTGAGTGTATGCGTAAGGCTGGAAGAGTTATCCCCCTTACTATGACAAAAATACTGCAAAATGTACTGACCTATGATGTTATTGTTGTGTGTTTTAGACTCCTCGTCACCTTAGTAAAAGACTGACACAGCTGTAGGCAACTATGGGAAACAAAAGTGGTAAGCAGAAGAAAAAGGATAAGGAGACGAAGAACAAAGAGGAGGGAGAACAAAAGGTAAACGGTACGGCTGAGGAGAAGCCTGCTGAGGAGGCTGTCAGTGACACACCTGCAGAGAACACTGAAGCAGCTAATGATAATGAGAATGAAGGTGAGAAAGGCGGTGGGGGTGATGGTGGTGGGGAGGCATGTCAGGAGGATAAGGCTGGGGACCAGGCACCAGAACAAACTATTACTAACACTAGTGAAATAAAGGCTGACAGTGACAGTAGTTCACCAGCTCCTGCGAGTGCAGGAGACAGTGAACCAGTACAAAGTGTAGATAATAGTAATTCTGATACAAAGGAGGAAGTGAGTCCCCCTGTACAGACAGAGTCTGCTCCTGTAGTAGAAAGTAGTGAAACTGAGAAAGTGGTAGAGGCAACAAAAGATGAATCAGTTAGTGAAACAAAACCTGCTGTTGTGGAAACAGCTGAACCTAAACAGGAAACAATAGTGGAAGTGCAGCCTCCTACACCAACGGAAGAGGAACTACCAGAGGAGCCACCAGCTCCACCTGCACCTTTGGAAGAGCCACCAGCTCCACCAGCACCTGTGGAAGAGCCACCAGCTCCACCTGCACCAGTGGAAGAGCCACCAGCTCCACCGGCACCAGTGGAAGAGCCACCAGCTCTACCTGCACCAGTGGAAGAGCCACCAGCTCCACCTGCACCTGTGGAAGAGCTACCAGCTCCACCTGCACCTGTGGAAGAGCCACCAGCTCCACCTGCACCAGTGGAAGAGCCACCAGCACCACCTGCACCTGTGGAAGAGCCACCAGCACCATCTGAACCCTTGGAAGAGCCGCCAGCACCACCTGCACCTGTGGAAAGCCAGGAACTACAAACAAAAGGTCTGGTACATGCTCGCATTGTTCTTAACTTCTTTTGACACAGTGTTGTTAATCCTGCATTTCTTATAAGCCTTGCTTTGCGTCTTTTCCTAAAGATTTAAACTCAGTCTTGATACATCTACCGTAGTCTTTCTCAAAATATTTTGTACTTATTTTTAGCTTACATGATAGATCATGAGAAGTGTTGCTACCTGTCTTCGTCTATTATGGCATCCTTTGTTTGTTAACCATTGAACAAATTGTAACTTTCTCAAGAAACCCTAAAATGATATCTTGATTTTAAACCTGGCACATTGTTTATTAAAAGCTCCAAGTGTTGTTGCTTTTCATGCCAGTCAAAAAAATCCAAAACGGCCATGCACCCTAGTATCTGATTGGCTGAAATATTTTAACTTCACTTTGGAGCAATTAACTCCAAACCTGGTCCAAATATTTCTTGAGGTGCTGACCGTGTGTAGTTACTTTCCAAGTCAATACAAAAATCCCAATATGGCTGCACTGGCCTCTGGTCGGATGAGACATTTTCAACTTCTTCATCTCAAGAATGGCTACAGAGATTGACTCCAAACTTGGTAAATATGTTCTTTACGAGTTAATCCAAGATGACAGTCCTTGCTTCTGATTGGCTAGTATAGAGAACTCAGCTGCAGAGAATGACTGCAAATTCTGTACATAGGTTTCTGCATTAATACCGGTACCCAGCAAGGTATTCTTACTTTTCATGTCAATGCAAGAATAAGGGAGGACACCCTAGTTCCTGACCTTTTTTACTCCTTTGCTAGAACAGCACAGTGATTGGCGGCTTCAAACTTGTTCCTAAAGCATTAATGACCATGAAACGCATGTGAATGTTAAGGCCCCATGGACCTCTTGATATTTCTTTTATTCAGTTAGCCTCTTTTTCTGCACCTGTGTAATCAAGACTTGTTGTAAAAGTTAAAAGTGTATTCATGCAATGTATGTTCTATGCCATAATAGAGATTCAACTATAATCTTGATCGGCTACAGCAAGTTTGACGATGGGAGACATTTGGTTTGAAATGTTAGGAATTAATTATAACCACATGTTTAAAAGTTTCTGACCTCACTTTGACATTTGATTCTGGACAGACACTTGTAAGTTCATCAGAACTGGGACCAGCGCAATGACCTTGGGATGACCTTGTAACATTTGGGTATGACAAGGATATAAATAGTGGGACATATCCTATTCCTGATAGCTAAACTTTACTAAGTAGGGTGAAATGGTGAATGGGAGCTAGATGTGTGTTTTGCATCCCATTGAGATGAATTATAAAAGAGGAAACATTTATATGATAGAGTAGAAGGGCATGTGGTAAGAGTTACATTTATATGATAGAGTAAAAAGGCATGTGGTAAGAGTTACCGTAGTGGTGGTGTTAGATACAGTCATGCATGGAAATGGGTTGTCTATATTATATATATCTCACTCGTATGGCAGAATATACCACTATTTTCACTAATGATTCACACTCGTGAAAAATATCAATATTCTGCCATACTTGTGAAATCTATATGGTAATCAATATGAAACCATTCCTCTTTCTCTTACTCTCTCTGTCTCTCTCTCACTCTCTCTCACTCTCTGTCTTTCACACACTCTCTCTCTCTGTCTATATATATACACTACATCACTTTAGGGTTGAGAATTAGTAGTTCCTCATGTATTGATGTTGTAAAGGTGTTGCTTTGGTGGCTTTGTAGATGTTCATGTTCTACTAACCTTGTCAGTGAGATCTTTCTATAACGACTTCATCACTGTGTTTCTCCTGTTATTAGTGTCTGTTTATCCAGTAATAAGTTGTTAACCTATGATAAGTATGTCAAAGTGTAAAGAGATATATATGCCAGGCCTTGATTCTGTGCAGACTTATTTTTATGTTTAAGTTAAAAAATACATATTTCTGTAGTGTTTTTATCATCTTCTTTCTAAAATAGTTCTATTAATACTTGTGTTGAATTTGCATATTGAAATCCTGAAAAGAATTGATACTGCTTCAAAAATAGTACTGTATACAGTACATGTATATATGTTGCTGACAAGGAAATGTAATAAAAGTGTTGTACCATTTGTGACCTACAGGTGATGCACCCCCTTTGCCTGAAAGCCCACCCCCAGGCAAGGTATGATTTTCCTATTTCTCCGTTTTGTTGCATAACAATATTGTTACAATGTACTACTATCAATATGGCTTGATCTGTCTTCATGATTGTATCATAGTGTCATGTATCATAGTGCAATTACCATGATATTATCAAAAAACATCTCATTAAGTTGTTTGATAACTATAACATGTACAGGTATACTGTTTTGAAAAGAAAGTGGTGAAAGCTAATGAGAATGTTTCAAACTCAGTTTCATGGATTTGTGTGTACCTACATTGTACCGTGTACCTGTGTGTACCTACGTTTTACCTGTATGTACCTCTATTGTACCAGTACTGATGTCTTTGATCTTGCTTCCTACAGACGATAGCCACACAGTTTAAGTGGGACAATGAGGGTAACACCGTGCTAGTCAGTGGCTCCTTCAACGACTGGAAGGAGCAGGTTCCCCTGGAGAAACAGTAAGTCACAGCCAACTCAAATATTGACTTTTTTTATATCGGTCTGTTGTCGATTAACGTCAGAACTCCGGCCCTCTATAATATGCGGGAAATAAGCGACCTGCGCCTGGGTCGCACTTCAAACTGTTATTTTAGAAACAAATCATCACTTTCACACACATGTTGCACATGGATCGAAAGATCTATTCTTTATGCACAAGATGAACATAAATTACATGCCTCAAACAACCAATACAATCACTCAAAACATATTTTTTCAAACTTACTCTGTTTTACTCTACTTTTTTGATAGCCCCGCCTTCTAATGCTCCGTGACTAAACTCTGGCAGGCCTACGTCATAATGTTGGGAAATAACTTTGATAACGCGAGATCTCGTCAAGTCATGTGACATTGCTCATGCCCTAATTCCCATTAAAAACATGGGTTGGTATAGAAAACGTTGGAAAATACTGTTCGTAATGATCTTTTAAACATGTTATTGATACCACCTAGTGCATAAAGAATAGATATTTCGATCCATGTGTGACATGTATGTGAAAGTGATGATTTGTTTCTAAAATATCAGTTTGAAGTGCGACCCGGGCACGGGTCGCTTATTTCCCGCATATCATAGAGGGCCGGAGTTCTGACGTTAATCAACGACAGACCGATATAAAAAAAGTTGATAAAACGTCAGAATAATTCGTATTAACGGAACCTCAGTATGCTGGTGGTTGAGGTTTAACTTCAGATAACAAGATTAACATGTGTCTTTGTGCTTCCATTGTAAAAATGGTACCATACATGTTTGGGTATTATTTTAGTATGTAGATGGGAAAAAAATTGCTGTTCTTCTTTCCAATATCTTCACACTGATTGTCTTACACAACTTTAAAACAGTAGATCTACCAGAGGGAGAATATGTATACAAGTGTACTAAAAGTTACATTGGTGTTACAGGGAGGCTGCGTTCTCTGTGACAGTAGATCTACCTGAGGGAGAATATGTATACAAGTGTACTAATAGTTACATTGGTGTTACAGGGAGGCTGAATTCTCTGTGACAGTAGATCTACCAGAGGGAGAATATATATGTAAACAAGTGTACTAATAGTTGTATTGGTGTTACAGGGAGGCTGCGTTCTCTGTGACAGTAGATCTACCTGAGGGAGAATATGTATACAAGTGTGCTAATAGTTACATTGGTGTAACAGGGAGGCTTGGTTCTCTGTGACAGTAGATCTACCAGAGGGAGAACATGTATACAAGTGTACTAATAGTTGTATTGGTGTTACAGGGAGGCTGAATTCTCTGTGACAGTAGATCTACCAGAGGGAGAACATGTATACAAGTGTACTAATAGTTGTATTGGTGTTACAGGGAGACTTGGTTCTCTGTGACAGTAGATCTACCAGAAGGAGAATATGTATACAAATGTACTAATAGTTGTATTGGTGTTACAGGGAGGCTTGGTTCTCTGTGACAGTAGATCTCCCTGAGGAAGAATATGTATACAAGTGTACTAATAGTTACATTGGTGTTACAGGGAGGCTTGGTTCTCTGTGACAGAAGATCTACCAGAGGGAGAATATGTATACAAGTGTAATAATAGTTACATTGGTGTTACAGGGAGGCTTGGTTCTCTCTGACAGTAGATCTACCAGAGGGAGAATATGTATACAAGTGTAATAATAGTTACATTGGTGTTACAGGGAGGCTTGGTTCTCTCTGACAGTAGATCTACCAGAGGGAGAATATGTATACAAGTGTGCTAATAGTTGTATTGGTGTTACAGGGAGGCTTGGTTCTCTGTGACAGAAGATCTACCAGAGGGAGAATATGTATACAAGTGTGCTAATAGTTACATTGGTGTAACAGGGAGGCTTGGTTCTCTGTGACAGTAGATCTACCAGAGGGAGAACATGTATACAAGTGTACTAATAGTTGTATTGGTGTTACAGGGAGACTTGGTTCTCTGTGACAGTAGATCTACCAGAAGGAGAATATGTATACAAATGTACTAATAGTTGTATTGGTGTTACAGGGAGGCTGCGTTCTCTGTGACAGTAGATCTACCTGAGGGAGAATATGTATACAAGTGTGCTAATAGTTACATTGGTGTTACAGGGAGGCTTGCTTCTCTGTGACAGTAGATCTACCAGAGGGAGAATATATATGTAAACAAGTGTACTAATAGTTGTATTGGTGTTACAGGGAGGCTTGGTTCTCTGTGACAGAAGATCTACCAGAGGGAGAATATGTATACAAGTGTGCTAATAGTTACATTGGTGTAACAGGGAGGCTTGGTTCTCTGTGACAGTAGATCTCCCTGAGGAAGAATATGTATACAAGTGTACTAATAGTTACATCGGTGTTACAGGGAGGCTTGGTTCTCTGTGACAGAAGATCTACCAGAGGGAGAATATGTATACAAGTGTACTAATAGTTACATTGGTGTTACAGGGAGGCTTGCTTCTCTGTGACAGTAGATCTACCAGAGGGAGAATATATATGTAAACAAGTGTACTAATAGTTGTATTGGTGTTACAGGGAGGCTTGGTTCTCTGTGACAGTAGATCTACCTGAGGGAGAATATGTATACAAGTGTGCTAATAGTTACATTGGTGTTACAGGGAGGCTTGGTTCTCTCTGACAGTAGATCTACCAGAGGGAGAATATGTATACAAGTGTACTAATAGTTGTATTGGTGTTACAGGGAGGCTGCGTTCTCTGTGACAGTAGATCTACCAGAGGGAGAATATATATGTAAACAAGTGTACTAATAGTTGTATTGGTGTTACAGGGAGGCTGCGTTCTCTGTGACAGTAGATCTACCAGAGGGAGAATATTGACAGTAGATCTACCAGAGGGAGAATATTGACAGTAGATCTACCAGAGGGAGAATATGTATACAAGTGTGCTAATAGTTGTATTGGTGTTACAGGGAGGCTGAATTTTCTGTGACAGTAGATCTACCAGAGGGAGAATATGTATACAAGTGTACTAATAGTTGTATTGGTGTTACAGGGAGGCTGAATTCTCTGTGACAGTAGATCTACCAGAGGGAGAATATGTATACAAGTGTACTAATAGTTGTATTGGTGTTACAGGGAGGCTGAATTCTCTGTGACAGTAGATCTACCAGAGGGAGAATATGTATACAAGTGTACTAATAGTTGTATTGGTGTTACAGGGAGGCTGAATTCTCTGTGACAGTAGATCTACCAGAGGGAGAATATGTATACAAGTGTACTAATAGTTGTATTGGTGTTACAGGGAGGCTGAATTCTCTGTGACAGTAGATCTACCAGAGGGAGAATATGTATACAAGTGTACTAATAGTTGTATTGGTGTTACAGGGAGGCTGAATTCTCTGTGACAGTAGATCTACCAGAGGGAGAATATGTATACAAGTGTACTAATAGTTGTATTGGTGTTACAGGGAGGCTGAATTCTCTGTGACAGTAGATCTACCAGAGGGAGAATATGTATACAAGTGTACTAATAGTTGTATTGGTGTTACAGGGAGGCTGAATTCTCTGTGACAGTAGATCTACCAGAGGGAGAATATGTATACAAGTGTACTAATAGTTGTATTGGTGTTACAGGGAGGCTGAATTCTCTGTGACAGTAGATCTACCAGAGGGAGAATATGTATACAAGTGTACTAATAGTTGTATTGGTGTTACAGGGAGGCTGAATTCTCTGTGACAGTAGATCTACCAGAGGGAGAATATGTATACAAGTGTACTAATAGTTGTATTGGTGTTACAGGGAGGCTGAATTCTCTGTGACAGTAGATCTACCAGAGGGAGAATATGTATACAAGTGTACTAATAGTTGTATTGGTGTTACAGGGAGGCTGAATTCTCTGTGACAGTAGATCTACCAGAGGGAGAATATGTATACAAGTGTACTAATAGTTGTATTGGTGTTACAGGGAGGCTGAATTCTCTGTGACAGTAGATCTACCAGAGGGAGAATATGTATACAAGTGTACTAATAGTTGTATTGGTGTTACAGGGAGGCTGAATTCTCTGTGACAGTAGATCTACCAGAGGGAGAATATGTATACAAGTGTACTAATAGTTGTATTGGTGTTACAGGGAGGCTGAATTCTCTGTGACAGTAGNCGTTATACTTATGTGACCTATTTAAATCTGTCTATAACTAGCTCTGTTATACTTATGTGACCTATTTAAATCTGTCTATTATTAACTCTGTTATACTCATGTGACCAATTTAAATCTGTCTATAACTAGCTCTGTTATACTTATGTGAACTATTTAAATCTGTCCATTACTAACTCTGTTATACTTATGTGACCTATTTAAATCTGTCTATTACTAACTCTGTTATCAAACAGTCATGAAACAAGACTTGCATGTTTTCTTTTTTGCATTTCAGCCAATTAAGGCAGATAACGGTATTGAGAATAATGTTGTAATTGTGCGACCAGTTGGTTGAGTGCGTGTCCGAGTGTAAATACCCTGCTCCACCTCTTCAGTTGCCTCCCTTCAACACAACAGTTGCCTCCTTTTGATTGATGGCCCGACTGACCAAACCATCACCCAGAGGCATTATGGGACTACAACATAAGGCAGCTATGCTATAACATCAATCACTGATCAACGATGAATATTCCCAAATAATTTTACTTGGATGATTTTTTTTTCTTCAAAATAATTATTGCATTGTTTTTTACCAACAGGAAAACAATGAATTCCAGCCTTTTAGCTGTTGGCACTCTATTTTATATGGTAGCCAGGGACCCATACTTTTTGTTTTTGTAGAACTTTTCCTACTTGTTATTATTTTGTATCCTACTCTTTACATTTTATAATGTTAATTTACTTATGTTATGGTATTATCTTTCAAATTGTGTGAATTCATTGTAGGTCAATTGCCACTAATCATTTGTGAAAATTTATTGCCTCTGTTAAAAATTGGTCAAGATTTATTTTACAGTTGATATTCAGATTATGTGAAATATTGGTTACCAGTATCTGGTAATTGTGTTTTGAGTGCTATATTAAGTGCTTTTTCTTTTAAATATTTTGCATCATTTGCAGTCAATATATGTATATATATCTATTTCACTACCATGTTAAATTTGCAAAAGAAAATCAATCAGACAGATATTATAATTTTTTTTAAATCAGAAAAATATTGAAACAAAAAATGTCTTGTGCTTTGGTAAAGGGAGACAACCCCTGAATGTGGTGGAGTCCAGTAATATTCACTTCATCGTCAAATAGATAGTTCATCATGTTCGTGTACAGTAACATTATATTTTCCCCTACATAACATTAAGACAATCTTTTAGTTTTTTAGGGTAATATTTCTTTATTGATGTAATTTGGGTCATCTTTATGAGAATATTTTATACAAGCTTTGTGCATTGTAGAAATGAATGAACTGTGAGTATAAGATATCTTTCTAGTTATAGTGTCATAATTTTTAACATTTGTATACTTTTTCACAGTAGATGATATCATTTTTTTCCATTTGTATATATTATATTATATCTTCATTTTGTCAGATAATATATTGTCATGCTATAAGATTTTTATTGCTAGCAATTGAAAAAATTAAATTAATTAAATGTACATTTAAATTAGTGACATAATAATAAATGCAGGTTAATGTTGCTTTCTGTTTTACCCTGCCTCTCCTAATCAGTCATGATAGGCTGTACTGGTTATTGACGAGGAACAGCCTACTTGGGTTGGTGGGGGTGGCAGGATGGGTGGAGGTGCGATAGGTAGTGTTGGGAAGATGAAGCAGGTGAGGACCATGTGGTGACCAGATATCCCTGTATCTAGACAATAGACTGTAAGGTGTGGTGACCAGATATCCCTGTATCTAGACATTAGACTGTAGGGTGTGGTGACCAGATATCCCTGTATCTAGACATCAGACTGTAGGGTGTGGTGACCAGATATCCCTATCCCTGTATCTAGACATCAGAATACAGATTTTGATGACCAGATATCCCTGTATCTAGACATCAGAATACAGATTTTGGTAACCAGATATATACCAGTATGTAGACATCAGAATAACGATTTTGGTGGGCAGATATCCCTGAATATAGACATTGGACTGCAGATTTTGGCGAACAGATATCCTTATATCTAGACATCAGACTGCAGAGTGTGGTGACGATATGTCCCTGTATGTTGATATTAGAATGCAGGGACATACCTAGACTGGTCGGTGACATTTACCCTCACCTGTTAAAAGTGTGTGGAAGGAACATTAAAACTTGATGTGGTAAAAGTGTCTATATGAACTATATGTAGGTGGGATAAGGTTTTCATACATTTCCCTTAATACTGTCACTGGTTTCATGCAAAACTCGTGTATGGAAATTGAAAGTGTTATACCTGAATCAGGGTAAAATTATTTGTGAAACAGTTTAAGTTTAGGTATTTTTTGCTTGTATGGTAATTAAAAAGTGGTAACACAGATGTACTTACCAGTTGGAGTTGTGTGGTTCCTCCACAGCTTACACCTGTGGTGAAGTGATTCTGAGTGTTCACTGACGTATAAACCTTAGTAATTGTGGTGACTTGGCACACAGTAGCTATAGTGGTAGGTAAGTCAATCATCTGATTTCTCATTCAAGATCAATAAAATGTTACAATCTGTATTTTTTGTGTTCTTGTTTTGTTTGAATATTCTTGATCAATTATCACTGTTGGAGTTAATGCTTGATGTCATTTCTATGAGATTGATTAGGAGAACTTGACCGTTAAGTTATATTGGTCATTGTGTGGATGTATGAGGAAACTTTATTTATATCAGAAATCAGTCTACAGCATATACATCATCCTCGATACTTCAGGGGCTACCCTCGCTTACACTCTCTGCACCTCTGGAATATGTCATGATGAAGTCTAAGGCGCTGTATGCGTCACCATGTCGATGATACAGTTTACACTAGTTTGATTCTCTGATGTACATCAAAAGAACTGCACTAAGTTGGGTGGCGCTCCTCTTTAATCTTCAAAGGAAAGGTATCAGCCTTGCTATTGGTTAGATTTTTTACTTGAAACCATCCATATTGCTAAGCCTGTGCCTTTGTTTTTAGCTCACCTGGCCCGAAGGTCCATGTGAGCTTATGCCATACTGCGGCATTCGTCGTCCGTCCGTCAGCTTTTGAACGACTTCCTCTGAAGAACTGGAGGACCTAGGGTCATGATATTTGGCCAGTAGGTACCTGGGATAGAGTGCTATAAAGTTTCCTCATTAAAATGACCTTGACTTTCGAGATGGAGTGCTATAAATTTTCTTATTAAAATTACATTGACCTACTTTTCAGGTCACAGGGGACAAATATGTTAAAAACTTCAAACAAAATTATCCTAAGAACCATTTGGACTAGAGTCATGATACTTGAGTATGTTATGTAGACCAGCAGTGCAAATCTTTTTCTGTGATACAGTAATGACGTCAAAGGTCAACTTAAAGTGCTAGCCAGAGTCAAAGGTCAACGTGGGTTAAAAGCTTTAAAATTAAAACTTGAAATTTCAAACATCAATATCTTCAGAAGTGTTTATAAGATGTTAAAATGTATTGTGTTCTAGTTACCAAATTTTATCTGAAGTTACCTATATGTCAGTTTCATGTAATTAAAGAAACAGGTGAACAATACAGGCCCTCTGGGCCTCTTGTTGATATGACATATTACAGGGGTGCAGAGAACATAAGTGAGCAAAACCCCTGGAATATAGAGGATACATAGACCCTACCATGCATTTTCACTAGCAGTAGGTGGTATTTTATTGACAATAAAACTTCATTCCAGTATTTTGGTTAATCATTTTTTCCCATTTGTCAAGATATTTTTAAATCACAACATATTTACAAATATTTCTTTAGATAGGATAATAATAATTAATCGTTTTAGCTGTGGCAGTTCTACCTACAGATGCCCATGCTTAGGAATGAACTTTTTACTAATTCTCGGAAAAAATACAAAGTGTGCACAACTATTGATGACATCATATTAGGTTTCATTCTTCCATATGTGTTAATGAAACATAATAAGAACATAATTCTAATTTAATAAGTAGAAATTAAAGGAGTGAAATTGTTTTTAGGTCACCTGAGCTTTAGCTCAAGTGACCTATTGCTATCCGTTTTCGTCCGTCGTCCGTCGTCCGTTAACATTTTACATTTCAAACTTAAAGTCAAGTTCTGCTGGGCCGATTGAACTGAAAGTTGGTAGGAATGATCGCCTCATGGTCCTGACAAAGTGTTGTTATTTTTCGGGTCGATCAGAAATCCAATATGGCCGCCACGGCCGCCATTTTGAAAACCTATTTCAAACTTAAAGTCAAGTTCTGCTGGACCGATTGAACTGAAAGTTGGTAGGAATGATCGCCTCATGGTCCTGACAAAGTGTTGTTATTTTTCGGGTCGATCAGAAATCCAATATGGCCGCCACGGCCGCCATTTTGAAAACCTATTTCAAACTTAAAGTCAAGTTCTGCTGGACCGATTGAACTGAAAGTTGGTAGGAATGATCGCCTCATGGTCCTGACAAAGTGTTGTTATTTTTCAGGTCAATCAGAAATCCAATATGGCCACCACAGCCGCTATTTTGTAAATACCTATTCTAAACTTAAAAACAATTTCTAATAGGCCGATCTTATTTAAAATCGGTCTAGGAATGATCAGCTCATGGTCCTGACAAAGTTAAGTTAACATTATACTTAACTATTTTTTACTCAAATTGGTACATATTTCAACAACAAAAATAAATACTGTAGGACTCAGGTGACCGTTAAGGCCCATGGGCCTCTTGTTTAATGAGTGTAATCATTGCTAGTCGAGGGATGGAAAAGTGTCGTAAGACACTGATATAAATATTAAGGCTAGGACAGTGAAAGTGTTCTTATGTTTAGGTTAGGACTGTGATGGTAACCTGGTAAAAAAGGTAACGCTAGCCACATCACGGGGGTAATCCCGATACTCGCTATTTCACTTACGTCGGAGTAATACGGCTTACGGCAGAGCAAAATACTCCCATGATGGAAGAATTGAGAGGTATTTTTGCGCTTTCTTGCATAATTACTGAAAACTTACCATTGTAACTCAG